ATTAAAATTAAAATTTATTTTTTAATTTAAAACCTCATATTTTTAAATAAAATTAATAATTATTATCTAATAAGGCACGACACACACAAACCCTTAAAAAAAAGAAAAAAATTGCTTGATTACAGCTAAAGTTGTTGTCATTGACATCGATTTTTTTTGTAAAAATTATTTAAATTTTAAAATTTTCACTAAGTATTGAATTGTCTAATTCACGTATTTATATGGTGGGAAACAATATTTTTTATTTAAGGATTATTTAACGAATAATATTAATATAATATATATTTTTAGTTATTTAATTAATTTTAAAATAAATAAAATTTATATAAACAAAACAAAACAAAACAAAATTTTGCATATTTATCCGTACATTTTCAGGTAATTCAAACGTTCAGGTACACTTGAAATCGAGTGTGTGAGAATCACCCCGCGACGTTGCATCCGCCATTGCCGTTAATCGGTTTGATAATTCCTTTTGAATCCGCGGTCGTGTGGTTGAGGGTCTCACCTACCCCGCCGCGACGCAACCGTCGCCATTTCTTCCATCGGAAACTGCCCATTCCACCCTACCGTCCTCCGTTTCCGCCTGAAATTTTCGAACCATTATTTTAATCGGAAAACCTCCGAACAACGGCCGCGCCTCACCGCTTTCGTTAATAATTATCAATTCTTACCCCCAATCTTGTAAATCTGCCGCTCACACAATTCCTTCCTTGTTCCTCCATTCTGGATTTCTGCGATTTAGTGAGTTGAGCTGCGAATGATATGGCGGAGGATTTGGCGAAACAGACTACTTTTCTTCACGGTGACCTGGAATTGAGAATTATTGAAGCTAGAGCATTACCCAACTTGGATTTGGTGTTCAACCAAGTAAACCGCTGCGTCGTCGCCTGCAAAGCTTGCGTGGTCTCCTCACCGGCGTCCGGGCAGGGAGGTGACCGGAAAATCAAGCACCATTATAAGACAATCACCAGCGATCCCTATGTTACTGTGTCGGTACCTCAAGCTACTGTGGCTCGTACCCGAGTCATGAAGAACGCCAAAAACCCTCTTTGGGACGAGAAGTTCAATATCCCCCTCGCGCATCCAGTTGTCGACCTCGAATTCCAGGTTAAAGACGATGATTTGTTTGGGTCAGAGCTCATGGGTACTGTCAAGATACCGGCTCAGGAAATCGCCAACGGAGAGGAAATTGACAGATGGTTTCCGTTGATTGGCTCCAATGGGAAGCCTCCGAAGCCAGATTCGGCTCTTCATATTGATATGAAATTCACCCCATGCGATAAGAATAAACTTTATCGTCAAGGCATAGCCGGCGATCCAGAGCAGGCAGGAGTGAGGCACACTTATTTCCCACTGAGGAAAGGGAGTGAGTTGAGGCTGTACCAGGACGCTCATGTTCCTGACGGAATGTTGCCTAAAATTGAACTGGAACACGGAAAGGTTTATGAGCAGCAAAAGTGTTGGGAAGACATTTGCTATGCTATATTAGAGGCTCATCATTTAATATACATAGTGGGTTGGTCAGTGTTCTATAAGATTAAGCTTGTTAGAGAGGCAAGCCGGCCATTGCCTCGCTTGCCTCAAGGTGGGGATATGACCCTTGGTGAATTGCTCAAATACAAGTCATCAGAAGGTGTTCGTGTTTTGTTGTTGATCTGGGATGATAAGACTTCGCATGACAAATTGGGACTCAAAACAGTGAGAATTCTAGCATGATTTGTTAATTGTTTAAAGTCTTTTGCTTTTTCGTGTGCTGCCCCTATTGGGCTGGGCCCTTCCCCATAAGGCCCCACCGTCGGGCGTTCAACTCTGCTTCTAGCCACAATGTTCTTTTCATATGTTGTGTAGATTCCTCAGTTACTTTAACATTAAGGTCTTATAAGCAATTTGAATCAGTTTCCAGACAGTTGTGTGCAAAAGGTGCATTTCTCTTTTTTTTTTTTTTTTATGTCTGTGATTCCTTTTATTCTTTTGTTAGAAAGTGATAGGTGATAAAAAGTGACAGGTTTTCAGTGAACATGAAATAGAAAGATACCTTAGTAATGAATTAGGCAATCTAAAATTGTGAGATTACAATGACTAATTTTCAATGTATGCAGGCAGGAGTGATGCAGACCCATGATGAAGAAACAAAAAAATTTTTCAAGCATTCATCTGTCACTTGTGTACTCGCTCCTCGTTATGGAAGCAGTAAGCTTGGTATTTTCAAACAACAGGTAAGTTTTATTTTGATGGATTGTTATTGTCCATGATACTGAACTCATCTGACACCTGTTAAATTAAGTAGTTTTGGATTCTTTGTTCATGGTAATGTTGAATGAATAGACTAATCATTGTTACCATCCAATTAAGTTTTGCTATCTTTTGAATAAACCACAACATGATCTTGTGGATAAATTTTTTACCTTTTAACTGCATATGAATATCTTAACTATCTCCTTCAAGAACACTGTTTCTGAATGTGCTGAGTGCCTTGATCTATGAAAAATGCATAACAGAGTGCCCTTGCTGATTTTTGAGGAAATATTATCATTGCAAGCAGTTTGAGAGCATATTCTGTTTTTGGTTGGAGCATACAGTGTTGTGTATTTCTTAATGTTGCAATTGAAGTGGAGTGATTAAAATAATAAAAAGCTAGTTGTTATGATTTTATCTTAAAATATATATATATATATAGAGAGAGAGAGTAGGGATCCACTTAAACACAAGTCTTATATAACACACTTACACAAAATCTTGACCATTCATGTGGTATATTTCATCCAAAAAGTTGTTATCTATTTTATCTTATTTGTTTTTTTATCATATTTATTAAAGATAATTATCTTTTTCATTTAAAAAGTCATGATAAATTTCAACCATTGAAAGTGGAGAGATTATAGAGAGAGAGAGTAGGGATCCACTTACACACAAATCTTACACATTACACTTACACAAAATCTTGACCATTCATCTCTCCACTTTCAATGGTTGAGATTTATTCACATTTATTAAAGATAATTATTATTTTCATCTAAAAAGTCTTAATAAACCTCAACCATTGAAAGTAGAGAGATGAATGGTCAAGATTTTGTGTAAGTGTGGCATGTAACACTTATGTGTAAGTGGATCCCTCCTCTCATATATATATATATATATTGTGCCTTTGAACTTTCATATTCATGTGGTAGATTTCATCAATGGGACTAGTTTGGCAAGCAATCTCTGTGCTTGTTTTGATAACCTGTTTTGTTTATGATCTTGAAAATTCTTCATAAAAACTAAGTAATGTTTAGAAGTTGCTTACGTGTTGTCTTCCACAGGTTGTTGGAACCATGTTCACACATCATCAAAAATGTGTTCTTGTTGACACACAAGCAGCTGGTAGTGATAGAAAGATAACTGCATTCATAGGTGGTATTGATCTCTGTGATGGTCGTTATGATACACCTAAGCATCGATTATTTCATGATCTTGACACCATTTTCAAGGATGATTTTCATAATCCTACATTTCCAGTGAGTAATTCCTATCTCTGAATATACTTTATATGATTTCCCTCTGCCAAAATTTTCAATGATGTATATTCATGTTAATTTCTTGGATCATTCACCATTATTTGTAAAGCATCTTATAGAATATATTCTCGCATAAAAGGATGAAGGAGAAGAAATCCTGTAGACTAGTTGTGCTCTGGTTTACTGCTCAACTAATCTTCTATTTTCATGGTTTGTTTTATGGTGACTGAAAAGCCATTGGTGATTACTGCAATTTCTAATGTAGTATCTTAATTTAAAAATAAAAAAATAAAAAATAAAAAATAAAAAATGGAAGCTCTAAATAAAAAAAAAAGAGAAATTTGTTGTAATTTGGTTGCAAGATATGGTCAGAACAGGGCAAATACAATTTCTTAAGATGTGTCTATTATCTCTGGTTCTGTGATCTCATATCAAGATTAACTGCGGTTAGTATTGGTCAGATCAAGATTTCAACCATCTAGAATTGTCTTTATTGTGATTGAAAGCCATTTATCATCATTGCAAATGATATATGGGAAGAGAAGTAATAAAAGGGGTATGAGTTGACTTAGACAGGTGGGTGTGCACTGTGCGATAACAAGGGGTAAAAATATGGGACATGGTTCATAAGCACAAAAAAGAAAGCGTAGACTTAGAAGAGTTTGTTTGGTGTTATTGGCCTGTCTGTGATTGGGATTTCTTGATTTGAGTTGTAATTTAATGCTGGCTAACCTCCAGTACAATTTTCTATTTCTTCTCAAGTGCAAGTAGTTCTAATCCTGGCATTTGTTTGTTTTCCACCAATCAGGCTGGAATCAAGGCTCCAAGACAACCGTGGCATGACTTGCACTGCAGGATTGACGGGCCAGCTGCATTTGATGTTCTTATAAACTTTGAGCAACGTTGGAGGAAATCAACCAGATGGAAAGAGTTTAGTCTACTTTTTAAAGGAAAATCTCATTGGCATGAGGATGCATTGATTAGGACAGAACGTATCTCATGGATACTTAGTCCTGACCTGGATGATCCTTCCCTTAGTCCTGACTCGGATGATGATACCACAGTAGTTCCAAAGGAGGATTCCAAAGTAAGGGTTTCAAGTGAAGATAATCCTGAAAACTGGCATGTTCAGGTTGTATAATGCAAGTTTTTAGTTTAGTGATTGTAAGTTACTTGTTTGATTTAGTTCATTTTCTCTTTGAAAACAATGTGTAACTTTTGGTTCCATCTCCATTTTTCTTTCACAGATTTTCCGGTCCATTGACTCAGCATCACTGAATGGATTTCCAACAGATGTTGACAAAGCTTATGCCCAGGTTTCATATGAAACTACTTCCTTTTTTGTGATTACCTTGTAGCATTAGTTGCATTGCAGTTCTTGATTCTTACTGGAACTCTTTTCTGCAGAATCTTGTCTGTTCAAAAAGTATGGTAATAGATAAAAGCATTCAAACAGCATATATCCAGGCAATCAGATCTGCTCAACATTACATATATATTGAAAATCAGTATTTTTTAGGATCATCATATGCATGGCCATCGTATAAAAATGCAGGTCAGTAATGTTTTCTTCTGTTGTTATGTGGTGTCTTTATTTTGTTTTGGTAAAGGAGTTCAACCATATATGTCAATTGTTTGTATCTTCGTAATTATTCATGTTTGTCTGTTTTAATGGTATGAACAGGTGTTGACAATCTAATTCCAATGGAGTTGGCACTGAAAATTGCTAGTAAAATTAGAGCAAATAAGAGGTTTGCAGTGTATGTCGTCATTCCAATGTGGCCTGAGGGTGATCCAAAGTCTGATACCATGCAGGAAATTCTCTTTTGGCAGGTTATTGTCTGTTTCCTGAACTCTTGTCAATCAAAAGCCTCTTTGGTGTATCTTCTTTGTGATAAATCTATGAAGCAAAGTTGTCAACGAGGCTTATATTATCCAGTTACTTTCTTGTTACATCTTGAAAGATACACTATTTTGCTTTAATTGTTAATCATTAGTCGGTTCACTTGGTTCATAGCTAAGATTTGATAGCTTATACACTAAAGGTGGAAATATTGCTTCATTCTTAGAGAAAAGAAGCTGCAGGCTTTCTGTTTTTATTGATATCTTTCTGTTTTTCAGTCTCAGACAATGGAAATGATGTACAAAATTGTTGCACAAGAACTAGGATCCATGGAACTTCCGCACTCACATCCTCAAGATTACCTCAATTTTTATTGTCTTGGTAACAGGGAACGTCTACCTGAGGATAAGCCGGTCAGTGATGGTGATAAGGTAACTATCTGAGAGAAAGTTTCTCTTTATTTTACCCTCCTTTAAGCCTATCATAGAAACCACAATTCTGCAGATGCAGATTATGTGTTTGATTGTCAAGTACTATTACTTTGCTCTCATGGTTCTAACTTTTATTAAAGGCTGAAAACCAATGTCTGGCTTATAATTTTATTTCCTTGCCTTATTTTTAACTTTGTAGGATACTTCCCCTTCTAACCTTGATTATTTTATTTTGTTTTTGTGATCACATGTGTCACTATTCATAGTTTAAATTTGGCAGGAATTCAATGAGAAGTTGGTTTTAATTACAATATTCTCTCTCAGGTCTCTGATTCACAAAAAAATCAACGGTTCATGATTTATGTGCATGCAAAAGGAATGATAGTAGACGATGAATATGTGATAGTTGGATCTGCTAATATCAACCAAAGATCCATGGCTGGTTCAAAAGACAC